TTATTAACAAGAGTAAATATATTAAATTAATTTATTAACAAGAGTAAATATATTAAATTAATTTATTAACAAGATATGTAGGGTCTTTACCTTGAAAATAACTTTATGATACATAGTGATCACTGATTACTATGTTTCATAAAGTCATTTTCAAAGCAAAGACCTTATATGCCGTATTTATTAACACCAATGATAGTAATAATGTTAATTAAACATTAGCAACCAGTTGAGGACGATATCAATATACTTAGAACCATTAGACCGTTAAAAAATAGTTATATTTGTTACAAACCACAGTTAACTACATGAACCGATTTTAACTAGTTGCGTGAAATATAAATAAAATTTTATAAACAATTTAGTAAAAACTAGTTAACTAGAGTTATCAAACTATTTCTACCATTTCGGTTGGATGAAAATTGAAGGTCCTTTTTTTATACGTGATAGTATTTTGATTAAATTCATAAATTAACTAACAGTTACAAAAGTTGCAAACTGATTCCTATATTGTATTTAAAGTTTTATGACCAAACGCGATGAACTAACTAGTTCAAATGGGTTTGGCTTAAATAATAACGTTTTGAATCCCAAACTAAGTCAATATTAATTTGGAAGCACTTATATAAATATTTATTTGTTATGCATAGTACATAGTTTAACAAATATATATGATGATTTACTATAATTAGACTAACTATCATGTTTATATTAGGACTTGAAATATTTTGCTTAAAAAATCTTAATTGTCAGCGCAAACAACTAATATTAAAAAATCCCAGTATTACGTGCATATATTCTTTCAATTCATTTTTCATTCATAATTGTTTTATATTCTTAAATTGATAACTTTTTTTTTGTGTCATAAGTTATACCTTTTCGTGCATAATACATATATTGGTTGGTACTATAAGACATGTCTTTACATATTTTGTTGCATAAACCACAAAAAATAATAAATTGCATAAATATTTAACTTAAGGAAAGCACTGAAGTTGCGAATAATAATAATCGAAATCAAAAAATTCCGAAAACTCCGTAGTTTCTTGATTTACGACTACTTCTTCTGGAACATCATTATGGTTGAAAATTCCTTGAAAGTCAAAACACATTGATTCTGAAAACTTTTTAGTTTGTTTATTATTTACAGTGTTTGACTTGTTTTTCCCCCTTTTTTGGGGTGAAAATTTAAAATCTTTATATTCCTGATTATGTACTCTTTTAGCTAAATTTTCGAGAATCTCGAAATACCAATGAATTTGCGGATTCTCGTGCCATTCTTTGGCTGCCGCGCGGGAGTAGTCTCCGATTTCATCATTTTTTAATTTTTTTCCTTCATTCTTCAATTTCGCATTAAAATTTCTACGATATATAAGAAATGCATTTTGAGGCCTTGGGGCCCGTGATGAATAGGGTTTTTTCTCGTGTTTCACCGCTCTTCGCGATTTCGGATGAAAAATCAATTCTTTAGCTTCTAAGTACAAAGTACAAGGAGACATCTTGGACAACTCATTATAAAATGAATTTTCGTCAATGGATTTATTAAAGATTCCCATCTTGAGAGAAAGATCCATCGGGAGTTGAACGTCCCCCAATTTCGTCAATTTCATCATTAAAGAAGACATTTTAAATTTGTCAATTTTTTAATTGTGAGGATTCAAAGATGAAGGAAACAACACCTTTAAATAAGAAAAATTTCATTAATATATTAATTGATTTCCAGCTGTGGCAACCTTTCGCACAATTCGTACTACCAGAAATGAATAATGACTAATGCTAATACGTGGTATCTTTTGGCGAAACGGAAAACTAACTGTGGCGGTACAATCGCATTATTCAAGTTTATTTAGTATTGCCTTTCTGGAAAAACCAAAATTTTGAATTAAGCTCCTGACATGGGCTCGATCCTATAGAAGCATATTAGATCATTACCATATCAGTATCCACCGGAAATAAGCACTCCCAGCGATACGCATTCTTGGCCAGCACTATGTAAATGTTGGATTACTTTATATGGAACAATGACAGATTTTATACTAAATTGGCAAATACATAGTACATCAATGCATATTCTTGTATTCGTGTGCTTCATAGTTTACTTAAATAATTTCCAGCAGTCAACTAAACAAAGAAATATAGTAATATTCCTTATTATCTTCCGGAATTATCAAATATACATCGAGGCTAATAAATCTCTGACGTTCTAATTAGTAATTTGGAAGACGCCACAATTGCATGAGAAAAATCATTATGTTGTCTAGCTGGCTTGTTCAACCAATTTGGATTAAGTTCAAGCTAGTGATGTTAAAAGCATACTCCGACTGAGCTTATTCATAATTCAGTATGTTCTTAATGGTTCAATCCTGTGACATGCTTAAACTATATTTACACATCAGCTTATTACTAGGAATCTTAAATAAGGTTAATTTAATAATATTTTATGTCGCGGCTGATGCTGGAAACGGCTGAAGCTGGAAATCAGGGACCCTGATTTAAAAATATAAACCCTGCCAAAAT